CCCGGTAACCAGGGCTGGGTAACCACCCACATCCAAACGTTTGATCCTTCCTCCAGCCCCACAGAGCAGCCAGAGTTCTCTGCACTTTTCAGATGGGGAAACTGAGGTCCAGAGAGGGGAGGACTTGTTCTAGATCACACAGCAATCATGGCAGAACCAAGTCTCCCTCTTTCCAGCCGCCAGCCCCCTGAGGAGGCTGTGTGAAGGGACAGACTTGGGCTGGAATCCTGGTACTTCCAGCCCCAGCTGTGCATTACTGGGCAGGTCAGCCACACTCTCCGGCTCTCAGCTTCTGAGTGCTGAACTGCTTTGTTGCAGGTAAATTTCACACACACCCTCTCCCCAAGGAGCAGCCACATGTCCATCTTACCCCTCTCCGTGTCCCCAGAGCCTGGCACCGGTGGTGGACGTTCAGACGAGAATCATTGCCTGGAGGACCCTCCTGCCTGCCCCCCTCCCCAGTCTAAGGGTCTTTGTCCCCGGGGTGCCTCCCGCACTCCCAGGTCAACATTTTCACTCTTCTCCACCTCTCACAGCCCTGACTGGTCCCCGCATACCCACACCCCAAGGTAGTGGCGGCTGCTCTCTCTTGGCCCCCAGGCCCCTTTTCTCCTCCCCTACCTCTCCCTCAGTCCCTCTCTCCCGTGAGACTGCTCTGCACTATATACTGTGTTTATAGGACAAGGATGACTATTTTGTATTTCTCTCTTTTGTCTCCCTTCCTACCCCGAAGGGAATCGTGTTTCCCCTCTCCCAGGAAAAAATGAAGGCTCCAAAGAGAAAAAGCAAACAAAGGACCGTGGCCTGCACCCACTCCCACCCACAGGCCACGCATGTGCACACAATCCTCCCTCCGGTGTCTGGGGAGTAATTGAAAATGTCGGTCTAGGGGCGCCTGGGTGGCTCAGTGGGTTAAGCCACTGCCTTCGGCTCAGGTCATGATCTCAGGGTCCTGGGATTGAGTCCCACATCGGGCTCTCTGCTCAGCGGGGAGCCTGCTTCCTTCTCTCTCTCTGCCTGCTTCTCTGCCTACTTGTAATCTCTGCCTGTCAAATAAATAAATAAAATCTTTAAAAAAAAGAAAAAAGAAAATGTCGGTCTTTATTGTTGAGGATAAACAGGGCCGAGGGACTGGGAGAGCAGGAGGGAGAGTGAGAAAAGAGAAAGGGGAGGCAGAGGGAGGCAGGAAAACTTAAGAGGGGCAAGAGCCAGGTGGGGAGAGCTGGACACAGAGGGACAGACACAGGAAGGAGCAGGATCCGACAGGCACTGTGCCTCCACTGAGTTTGGAGATGCAGCTCCTGACCCGCCCCAGGAATCCAGGGGATAGGCTCTCCAGCCCGACCCCAGCCGCACGCCAGCCGAGGGCCAGGAGCAGGATTGTCAGAGGGCTGGAGTGCCTATCCCAGGCCTCCTGTCCTTGGGTGGCCCCCAGAGTGGGCATCTCTGAGCACTGAAGGCAGGGAGAGGGGACCTGGCTTGTCTTCATTGACGAGGGTTCACAACCAAACGCACCCCACCCAGAGGCAGAATGACCTGATCCAGACTGGATGGCTGGCCCCCAGCTCCCCACCCAGCTCCTTCCTGAACACGGAGACCATCCCAGCCTCCCCTCCACAGCCCAGCCCGCCCCCACCTGCACCAGTGCATGGGGGTGCCCTGAGGTGGGGGCGTTCTCCTTGTTTACTTCTCCAGGGCAGCAGGAGGCACAAGGGAGCCTAAGGGGCCTTAGGCAATAGAGAGTCACCTGGAGAGGCGGTGTGGCAGGAAAAGGCAATGTAATGTGTGTCAAGGGTGTGTGTGTGTGTCATGGGTGCATGTGTGTCTGTCTTCCATGTGAGCACAGTAAAAAGCCTGTGTTTGGGTGGGTCTGGTATCCAGGGTATACATGGGGACAGTAAGGGGCATGCCTAGGTGCGCATGCGCATGTGAGCCCGTACTGGATAGAGTACCTGTGTCTTATCTCCGTGTATGTGTGGGTAAGGGGTGTGGGTTTCTGCACAAACCCTGCCTATGTGCCTGTGTACAATGGCTCGGTGTCTCTCTCAGACAGGGCTCCTCTTGCTCTTGGCCCCGGGCCACCCACCATCCTCCCAGCTCCTGGGAGTCAGAGCAACAACTGGCACTCAGGGTCTCTCCAGCAACAAGAGAGTAACAGAGAACGAGACCCCCCCCCCCCCCGCCAGCCCATGTCTGGGAGAGTCGTGTGACCGCAGTTTTGCCACCACACCCTGGCAGCAGTCACCAGTGGAGCCCAGGCTTCTCCCTGCCCCTGGAGAGAAGGGAGGAAGCTCTGGTGGGCACACCCCGCCAGTCACTGACTGTCGTCCGTGACCCTCCAGTGTCTGCTCATGGCTGGCGAGAGGGGCTTCTCATCCTCCCACCGAGCCACTCTCTGAACACCTGGGGGACACTAATGGGTCTCCACAGTCTTCTGGTATGCCCAGGCGTGCAGCCAGAGCCTGCCTTAGGGCAGGAGTGCATCAGATATCTACTGAATGAAAGAATGCACCTGAGGGCACGGTTTTAAGTCCTCAGAGAATTCAGACCGGGGCTTCCTGCCCAGTCAATGGTGCCACGCCCCCCTCTGAGTCAGAAAGAGTGGGGTCAGCACTCAGCCAGGCGTGGGAGGCCCAGCCCACCACCCTTCTGCAGGTCCCCTACCCAGTCACCACCACAGAGGCGGCAAAGCCGAGAGAGGGGCCCTGCTTTGTCAAAAGGTCAATCCCAAGCTAAATGACCCTGTCATTCTGTGGGCAGAGGCACAAGGGAAGTCCCATTCATCTTCCCCAGAGGCCGCATCCCCTTCTTGGCTGGGCCATCTCTCTTCCAAACATCTTCATCCCCCAAAGACTCATTTTGAGTCCTCCAGCCTCCTCTCCTTCCCTTGGGATCACAAACCAAGGCTTAGTTCTAGCTTTGGGGCTAATATCCGGTCCCTACCCATATCTGGTGGCAGCTGGAGCCTGTCAGGTTGAGGGTCTGTCCCAGACTGAGCCCTGACTCTAGTCACAGACTGACCCCAACCTAGCCGCACGCTGAGCCCTGGGCCCGGTCCCACATGGAGCCCCAGACCCTGGGCACACACTTGAGCCTAGACCTTTATTTAGAGACAGGCCATTCATTATTTCCCTGGCTCTGGACCTTAGTTTCTTCATTTGTCCAGTGGAGGGCCTTGGAACGGGATAGGCACTAAATCCGAAAAGCCCTGTTCAGAGGTTGGCCTGTAGCTTCCCCAACCTGGTGACACAGGAGAGCAGCAGCCACTGCCACCTGCCAGCCCCCCCATACCCAGCACTTTCAGCCAAGCATCCCTAACTTTTGCAGCTGCCGTGATAAATGGCATTGTCGGCAAAATGACATCTTTCTAATCTGCTGCAAGACAGATGGGTCTCCAAGCTCACTGGCTCTCCCAAGCCTGCCCAGACCAGCCTCGCTGAGGAGTGGGAGGACAGGACAGACACAGTACCTCAGGCCTGGGGGGCTAGCGCTGTGGCGGGGAGGGGATTTCCAGGCCCAGAGTCGGGTATGATCCCGGTGGGCTTTCCGACCAGCCCCTTTTAAACATACTCAGTGTTGGGGCTGTTGTTTTAATATTCCAAAAATACTCTCTGATTCTTTCTATCCAAAGTTAGTTCTTCAATTTTCATTTTCAGTTAAAACCTGAATATTGGGGGCACCTGGGTGGCTCAGTGGGTTAAGCCTCTGCCTTTGGCTCAGGTCATGATCTCAGGGTCCTGAGATCGAGCCCCACATTGGGCTCTCTGCTCAGCAGGAAGCCTGTTTCCCCCTCTCTCTCTGCCTACTTGTGATCTCTCTCTCTCTGTCAAATAAATAAATAAAATCTTTTTAAAATTAAAAAAAAAAAAAAAAACACCTGAATATTGCTCCAACTCGACCCCAGCCTCCCCAGAGACCAGCAGGAGAGCAGGCACCTGGCACAAACCTGGAAGGGGTCGGGTGGGCAGGTGGGCCAGGCTTGGACTCATGAGTAAGGCAACACTGCCCCCTCCTGGCTGCTGTGCGGCTCCTCCTCTCCTCTTCTGGTGAGTCTGGGACAGGCGAGCGGCTCTCCAAAGACCGCATTGGGCAAGCAGACCCTTCTCCTAGCAGTACGCTTGGCCCCTTGGCTTCCTCCCAGGCTGACTGCAGCCTCCAGACTCTGCCCATTCTGTCCAACCCTCTCTCACTGCCCAAAGAATCCCGAAAATCACACATCTTATCTAGCCCTGTCATGCTGAGGACAAAGCCAGAGTGCCCTCCAAGTGCCCAATACCTGGTCTTCTAATTGGAGAGCCTCCTGCAGCCCGGCTCCTGCCCTCAGAGCTTGCCCCGGGGTCCTGCCCTGCACACTTTGGTCCCACATGCCTGTCTTTGTTCTCATCTTTACCGACACCAAGAACACCCTCCACACCCACTACACAGCATCTCCACTTGTCCTCTTGCGTCCCTCTGCCAGGAAAGAACCCCTCAGCCCTCATCCCCAACCAGATGACCCCTCCCTCCTCTGTCCTGCTCCTCTATCGCATGGTGACCCCTGTCAGGGAACAGAGTCTCACCGTTGCGGAGCTGGAGGGAACTTGGACATGCTCCAGACCTACATTCCCCCCTCATTGTCCCACGGGCAGCCCTGAGGGGCCCAGAGGACAGGAACTGCCCAAGGCCACATAGCATTTTAGTGGCAGAGTTTGGACTAGCCGACCAGAGTCTTCCCAGGGCTTCTGGCTGCCTTCCCTGCTGAGCTGGAACAGACCTTCCCCAGATAGGGATCCCTACATGGCCTCCCAGGATCCCAGCCCCTCACCCAGGGCAGATCCCAAAGGAAGCAGCCGTGTTTGCAAAACAAAAAATGAAATAAGTGAAAATGTTTATCTAATGCCTTCTGTGTGCTAGACACAGCAGGCACCAGCTCAACTACTTGAAAGCTTGGTAAATTGCTCAGTTCCACATATAAAAATAACTTCTGTGGGGAGAGATGGGTGAGGGCCCCAGGAGGGGCCTTAATCGTGAATGTTGATGACCAGCGGGCATAGGTGGGGTGAGTGCTTGATGCCCATGGTGAATGCAGGGGTGCGGGGCTTGTGCACCCAGACCTGCTGGACATTGTGGGAGCCAGGGCCGGGCCGAGGAGTGTGGTCCATTGGGTAGGTGAATCGCTTGGCCATGCTGTAGTCAGGGCTACGGTTCTGGTACACGGAGGGCTCAGGCCGGGCGTGCATGGCCGGCCCAGGGCCTCCTGCCACATCCTCCTTGTAGAACCAGTTCTTATGTTCCAAGGCCAAACTATAGCAAGGGGCAGCTCGGCTGACGGGGTTGTTGGGACCCAGCAAGAGTGGCAGCTGATACCGGTTGGGGGCTGGATTGGGGTCCATCACTCTGTATGGGCACCGGTAGCCAAAAGCATACTGGGGAGCCCTGCGTTCCCCAGGTGGGTGGGTCTTCTCCAAGGAGTAATGGCAGGAGGCTGGGTTGGGGCTCACACCTAAAAGGGGATGAATGGAGGAAGGGTCTCAGGGTGGGAGCCAGGCCACGGCTCCTGGTGTCCAACTGATGGGTCCAGGTAGAGATATAAGAGGTCTTGGTTAGGGGCGCCTGGGTGGCTCAGTGGGTTAAGCCGCTGCCTTCGGCTCAGGTCATGATCTCAGAGTCCTGGGATCGAGCCCCGCATCGGGCTCTCTGCTCTCTAGGGCAGCCTGCTTCCTCCTCTCTCTCTGCCTGCCTCTCTGCCTGCTTGTGATCTCTCTGTCAAATAAATAAATAAAATCTTTAAAAAAAAAAAAAAGAGGTCTTGGTTAGCCTGATGTGATGTTACTGTAACCACTTTGTCGTCAGGCAGGGACACCACCACCCCTGAATAGGGCTATGGACAGGAGAGGGACTTAGGCCACAGTGACATCAGGACTGACACTGTTTTCATAAGATAAAAATCACAAGTGTCATCAGAACATCACCCTTGGGATGTCAGCATCCTGATATCAACCCCACGACAGTACCCAGAAAACAGCCTGAAATCACTACAGTCTGTGTGCTCATTAGCATGACAATATCCCCGATGCCCTGGGAGCCCCATGACATTTTTATCATAACCTTGCCTGCCGACACGCACGCATAACATTGGCTTCCAGACTAAGCATGGTGACACCAACATGGTGACATCAGTGTTTTGATATAACCTTTCAGGGAGATGCCAGGATCCAAAGACACACCTGGCAAAGGGGAGTCATGACCCTTTGTCCCTGCTCAGGTCCTAAGGGTGGATCCCCATTTCCCATCCTCCCAACCCCCACATCCCTCTCCCATCCCATCTTACGCAGGTTAGAGAGGCGTTCCTCCATGAGGACCTGTGGGCAGCTGGACATTCCAAACCGGGTTATTTTGGGATCCAAGAAATGGCGAGGCCCAGGACTGCAAATGTCCATGACCCCTGCAGGACAGCCCCAGAGAGGCCCAGTCAGCCGCAGAGGATGCCCTAGGGTGAGCCTGGACTGCCTCAGGGTGAAGAGCCCCTTTGCCCAGTAGAAAAGTAAGGGTTCCCTTCTGATTCCTTGGACGCTTGGGTGTTCCCCAACCCTTGATTTCCTCATCTGCAAAATGGGGCTTTTAATGACTGAACTACCAGTCTCAGGAACTTGCTCGGAGAAGCAGAGAAAATCACAGCTGCTGTGGTTGGCTCCCATCGGGGAGCGGTGCCAAGGGGTAATAATAGGCACAGTGGCTATTGTTAGTACAAAGAAGGGGCCCAGTCCTGGACAGGGGGTTCCCCTGCTGAGGAGGTCATGTCATGCGAGGGAGGGACCCAGCAGGCCTCTGGATCTCAGACCCCTCGACAGCGCCCCCCCCCCTCCCCTCTCGCTGGCCTTGACCCGCAGCCAGAGCTCTTCTCTGGCCCTCTGCTCTTGCCCTGCCAGGAGGTTCTAAGCCACCTGGAAGGCTTGGGGGGCCACCATTCCCAGCAGATCCCCCCCACCCCCCAGCTATTTCTGCCCAGCTTCTGTGGCAAGTGAACCCACAGAGGCCAGAGCTGAAGGGACAAGGGCAGGGCCCAGGACAAGACAGAGAGGAAACTCTACCCCGCCTGCTGGAAAGTGCCATCAGCCTGCGGGGCTCACTGAGGCGGGCCAGCTGGGAGATCCCCACAGAGCTGGCTTTGGAGCGGTGGGTCCCCTGGGCATCCCTGCTGGCTTCCTTGCCGACCCAGTGAGCTACCTGGGTGTCTTCTTCAGGGCAGGCCCGGGTTCCCAGGGTCCCGTGGCTACAGGTAATGGCTCCCTAGCTCTCACCGTCACCCCAAACACCCAACAGTAATAACCCTGAGCCTGAGGGCACGGCGGGCGTGGCGAGCACTCACGCTTCTCCGAGTGCCTGGTTTGCAGAGTGTAGGCTGGCTCCTGGAACATGGAGATATCGTGGTGTGAGTAGCCCGTGCAGGATGGCCGGAGGTACTTAGCCGGGCCCGGACCTGCGAGGATAGACAGGGCAGCCCTCAGCCTCGGCGCAAGGGACCAGAGCCTGGGGAAGCCCAGAACGCAGGATGCCGGGAGGACATTGGGATCTTTGCTTCTGCTGACATCACACAGCCGCAGATCCCACCATCCAGCTTCCTCTGGGGAAGGGCAATGTTGCGATCTATCTTAGACAGGCAATGGGTAATAGGAAAGATAATCGTTACAATTAACGGAGAACTTACTCTGCGTCAAGCCCTAATAAGTATTGACACAGATTATTTCAGCTAAGCCTCCTGACAACTCCATGAAGTTGATAGTCTTTGTGTTTCCCATTTACAGATGAGAGAAATGAGACTTAGAAAAATCAGGATGCTCAAAGTCACACAAGCCCGGTAATGTGAAAATTCAGAGACCATCCGCCAGGAGACCACAAACATCTAATCACATACTAAACCACCTCCCACACAGACCAACAATCGGTCATTAGCAACATAGTAAGAATTAGTTTGTCTGCTTTCAGTAGAGGGTTAGATTTTAGGGAAGTGAGGAAAGCTAAGGGTGGGCTAAAAGCTCCTTTGAATCCCTAGCTTTTGTCCCAAACTGGAAAATCATACACCATGCTCCCTCCCACCCCACCCCCCCCCCCCCCCGCCAGAAAATCCCCAGCAGCTAATACTGCCTCTGAGGTTCAGCTTGAAGCGGCAGGTCTTCTGCGGGCTTGGAGGAGAGTCCTTGGGAGCTTTGCAGGAGGCAGGGCTGGAAGGCTGGGGCACCTTTAGCAGCCCAGCGGAAAGAGGAATCCCAGCTCAGGGAGGGGCCTGCTCTCACCTTTGATCATTGCCATGATCACAGGGGTCTGCTTTACCTCCTGCCGAGAAGGCACCTGAATGTTCTCCTCTGGGTGCTTCCCATTGAACCCAGAGTTCCCGGCCCCCTTGGGCGGTTTCATGGCTGGGGCCCAGGAGGGGGCAATGGCTACTGAGAGATCAGGGGTGGGCAAGGGGCTAGGCTTGTGTGGAGCCTGGTGCAGACCGCCCTAGCCCCAAGCCCCTGTGTCCACTCTCTCCCCAACTCGAGAAGCTGCTTGGGGGTTGGGAAGGAAGTCAATCCTCTGGCTTGAGCAGCCGAGGCCGCCTAGGGTGCAGCCAGCCACAGGACCTAGCAGGCTAGAGCTGGGGATGACATCACCGCAGAATTTGGACCATGAGCCCCGGAGTGTTTATTTCCCCCAGTTACCGTGGCAGCTCAGCTATAGAACCCTGAAAGCTGGGCCCCACCACCCCCTACTCCCCACCAGGCTACACGGCCTGAGGGTGCCCACAACGAAGGGTCAGGGAAGGAAAAGGGAGAGGAGGAGAGACAGGGCCAGCTGTTCTCTTCTAATGGGTGCCCTGAAGACAGAGAAAGGAAAGGAAAGTGTGGGCGGAACCTGGGGGAAAGGTTCCCGCAGCCTGGACTGTCTCCTGGGGTGGCCCTCTAACGCCTGCCCCTCCCACCTATCCCCCCAGGTTCTGGACATGCCCTCCCTTCTGTCTGTTTCCCCTTGGAAAAGGATCAAACCAATTATTTCTCACTAAGGTGTTAACTGTCTGATAGCTTCCCAGACTCCTATCCCAGGGCACAGTGTCTTTAGAGATCCATGTCTGGCTCAAGGAAAGCTTGCTTGTCTGCTGCTGGCATTTTAGGCAGGGAATGGGGAGCACATAAGAAGGATGGAGGCGTGGCCCGAGGCCTTAACAAGCCACTTCCTGGCTTGTGGTCCAGAGTACCCCCCTGGGGGAGGGGCAGTATGAGAGGGAACATCGTGGGGTAGAGAAGCCACCTCACTGCCAAATGATGGATGAGCCCTAGGACTGAAGAAATGCTGGGGATGCCTTCACCCCCTAAAAACCCAGGATGTTTGGGGGACTCTAGGGTCTGCCTGCACCTACCAGTTCGTAGTTTAGACTGGGAATTTGATCCGAACCAGCTAAGAGGGGTTTCGGTCTTGGGAACAGATGACTTCCAGCTTTAGAGACGGTGTCTGTCACAGGCCTGGTGCATAAACGAAAAAACTGAGGCCCCTGAAGGGGCAAGGACTTACCCAAAGTCTCCCATTATGTCAGTAGCAGAGATGGAACCAGGACACAAACCCAGGGCTACCTTGGCTCACCACCTCTGATCTAATGGAAACCAAACCCCTTTCTGAGTTCATTCCAGCCGGCAGGCTCAGAGAGGACTCAGAGCAGACAGGCCAGACAGGCAGGGCACTCCAGAAGCCCTTGTGGGACTGAATGGCTCAAAATAGAGAGCAGGGCCCCACCCAGTGGCCGCAGACCGCCATCCCCCCACCCCGCGCCCCAATGTGTCCCTCACCTCACCCAGGGGGCCGCCAAGCCTCTGATTTCTGGAGTGAAAGGGCTGGGCAAGGCTGGGATTGGCCCAGCCTCCACTGGCCTCAGGCCACAGGCAGTGCCGCCTCCTCACCCCCCATCCTCGTCAGCTTTTCCTGGAGGAAGCTGTGGGCCTGCTGGGCGCAAGCCCTGATGGTCCCCTCCTGCTGCTAGGGGCCAGATGTGGGGCTGAGACCTCCACCTTCCTGATCTGGGGCGGCAGGCGGGGTGGAGTTTCCAAGTGTTCAGACCCAGGGAGCCTTCCTACAATACCGCCCCTCCAGCCGGCACTGCTCCCGTCTGTCACCTGTATGCCTGGCTCTCTGGGGCCAACTGACCCATGCTAGACCCCAGCCCAAGCCACCAAATTCTGCTCCAAATGCTCCCTTCTTACCAGCTTTGGCAGAAACCTAGCTCACCCCTGTAGGCAGCCCTTGTTCCTCTCCAAGCTGCTTGTCTCACACCCCTGCCCCTCAGAGTCCAAGGTGGAGAGGATTCCTGGTCTCCTTGGTACTCACCTGGGGGCAATGTCCCCTCCCTGTCAAAAGTACCACCCCTCAAGGGCTTCAGCATCCAGGGCCCCCCTCACCCCCATCTGCTCAGGGCAGCCATCTGTCCTGACTGGTAAACCTGGCTGCCTTGGCTCAGGACCTTCTTCCCCACCTGCCCCACCCCTGCCATCACCCGGCTGACTGAGGCTTCCCCGGGGACCACCCATTCCTTGGCCTCCCAGTTCCCAGACCTCCTCCTCCCCAAGTACCTCCCCCCCACTCCGAAGTCTGCTCTCCCCAGAACATTCTGAGCTGCTCACCGTCACCCACAGCCCTGACCCTCTCCCTCCCTTTGGAATGTCACCCTGGCCACCATCCTGTCACTCTGACACTCTGGTTGGACAAACTGCCTGCTAACGCGGAGACCCCATCATCACTCACACTCCTCTCCCTCCCTTGGTCCCCTCCTGCCTTCGCTGCCCTCCTCGTCGAGCTGCTGTCCTAGGAAACCCCAGCCCTGAGTCCCCAGGTCTGCCTTGTCGGCCTGCACCAGGCAGCAGAAAGCTGTTGGTATCACAGTATCACAGTATCACAGCCTCTGTTGATATCACAGATATCACAGTATCACAGCCTCTGAACCCCGGACTTGTCTCCACGCCGCCCACTGCCCACCTTGCTCTCGCCTGCTCCCAAGGTCAGCTTGCTCTCACCGGCTCCCAAGAGGCCATCGCCAACGTGGCTTATTCCCCTCTGCATGCCCAGCCTTCCTTTCAGCCCCCTGCATCCGCTCTTTCTCAGCAGAGGAAACAGGCCAGCAGAGTGGTTTCTGGCCCAAACCCACCCCACCACGCCGTCGGGACACGGGCTCCCACTGCTTCCAGCAGCTGAGGAGGACACCAAGGACTTCTTCCATTCCCTCTGCCTAAGCAAAGTTGGTTAACCTTCCATGGGGTCCCTCCCCCCCCCGTGGTCTCCACACCCTATGTCCCTTCCATATTTTAGAAACCATCTCCCTGACCTCCTCCCCAACACACACACACACACACACACACACACACACACACACACACAGTCTCCTCAACAGCCTGTCTCCCTCTGCCCCATCCAGACAAACCTCCCCTGAGAAGCATTTTCCCTGTTGTCTCTGTTCTCTCCCTCCTTTCACACTTCAGCTCTGCAGGTCATCACGCCACTGAAAGGACAACCTCCCTGGGGAAGTTATAGCCAATAGATGCTTTTCACCCCTGCCTGCCGGACTGGCCTCCCGTCTGCCCCAGCCCCAGTGACCAATGGCTCCCTCCCTTCAGCACTTCCTCCCGGTGCCGAGCTGTTTTGGTCTCGCTCCTGTGTCCCCATTGCCCCTTCACAGGCTTTCCTCCTGGCCCTTCCTCCTCAACCTGACCTTTCAGTGTTGGCTTAAGTTTATTAATTGCAAAGGGAAAAACAGTCACTTTACAGGGAGAATCCTGGCAGCCATCACCTCAACCAAGTGAGGTAAACTGACTTCGCCAGCAGTGGGGCGGAGACACGCGGTGGATCTCCGAGAAGGTCCCCTGAGGAGGCACAGCGTCACCTGGGCCGGTCCTGCCACAGACGCGGGACCCGAACCCGATCAGGAAGAAACCACATAAACTCAAATCAAGATTCACTTTACAAAAAACTCATCTGCACTTGCCGAAAATGGCAATGTCATTAAAGCCAAAGAAACAGTGAAGGAAAGAACTTTCCCAGATTAATAGAAACTCGAGAGGAAGGCAACTCAACACAGTACAGCAGCCAGGATTCCCCTTTGCTTTTAAGGATGTTACTGGAGAAATCGGCAAAACAGGACAAAGGTCTGTAGCTGGTTAAAAACATGATACCAATGTTAATTTCCTGATTTTGATCATTGCTGTCTGGTTATGAAAGAGAAGGATCTTGTTCTGAAAAAAGAGCCACTGGATGGGGCGCCTGGGTGGCTCAGTTGGTTAAGTGTCTGCCTTCCACTCAGGTCATGATCCTGGGGTCCTGGGATCTGAGTCCTGCATCAGGGTCCCTGCTCAGCGGGGCGCCTGCTCCTCCCTCCCGCTCCCGCTCTATCTCACTGTCTCTCTCAAATAAAGAAATAACATCTTTCCCACAAAAAAGAAAAAAGAAAGAGTCACTGGAGTGACGACGATAAGGAGGTCATGCCTGCAGCTCACTCTGGACTAGCTCAGGAAAAAATATGCATATACACAGAAAAGAATCTAAGATCTGGCAAAATAGTAAGATTTGGGAAATCTAGGTGAAGAGTATGTGGGAAATATTTGCAATGGCCTTGCTGCTTTTCTGTAAGTCTGAAATTATGTCAAAACAGAAAGTTGAAAGAAAAACCGTTGGTGTCCCCGACTTCAGTCCTGGACCTTCCTGTTGTTCTGCCCCGCCCTCCTCACACCCGGGCTGCCTGCCCTCTCGACGCTTCAGTCCCACTGTCTCTACTGCAACGGTTTCCAAACGGATGTGCCTCTGGCCCGGGCTGTCCCTGGGGCTTTCAGCCCACATAGCCATCGGCCTACACAGGGTCACTGGCTTTCTCACAAACACCTCAAAATCGACGTACCCAAAGCTTCTCTCCTAAGATACAGCCTGCCCCTCATTTATCTCAATGAACGACACCACGAGCCACCCGCCTGCCCAAACTGGAAAGCTGGGCTTGTCCCGGACCTCTCCCTTGTCTTCTGTCTCCACATCCAACAGTCACCGCATCACTCTGGGGTGCCTGTGAGCTCCCGCAGGCAGCCCCTGGCCATTTAGTCTCGTGTCCCCAGCACCCAGCTGGGTGGTATATGGTATGGTATATGGTAAGTACTTAAGAAGTGTCTGTTGAGGGGCGCCTGGGCGGCTCAGTCAGTTCCATGTCCAACTCGTGATTTCAGCTCAGATCATGATCTCAGGGTCCTGGGATCGAGCCCCACATCGAGCTCCACACTCAGTCTGGCATCTGCTGGTCTCCCTCTCCCTCTGCTCCCCCCAACTAGCTCTCTCTCTAAAATAAGTAAATCTTAAAAAAAGAAATAAAAGATGTGTTGAATGAATGAATGAGTTGATCCACTGACTGATCAAGG